TTATCAATAGGTTCATGTATATCGAGAGGATCTATAGCTTTCTTGTAAATAATCTATTGAAGAAAAATTATAATAAATAAAATGTAAAAAAAAGTTTGACGCATAAAGACTTACCCGACCGCAGATAAACCCCAAAGCTTCCCTAACGTTAGTGATTTTTAGAAGTTTAAACAATCTTGCTGTACGCGAAACTAATTCAGCTTCTCTGTTAATTTAAGTAACACTTCATTATGCTTTTCGTTCATTATTAATAATTCTTCTTTTTGCTTTAATAATTCTTCCTTATGCTTATCACTAATTGTTAATAATTCTTCTTTATGCTTATTCAATATTTGTCTCGTCTCTTGCAACATCCCTCCATATAGTTTCGTCATTTTTGTTTGCTGTTCAGCATATATTTGATTAATCATCGGAAAGTCCATAAAAAATACATTTTCTGGTCGATTAAATCATGAGCTTCCGCTGATGAGTTAGTAGATTTTTTGACAGCAATATCTTTCATATAAGACCCATTAAAAGTGAAAAGGGCTTTTTTGTTTAAAGTTAACTCTGGGTGGCAAACGTCGAAATGAAAAAATCATTTTTAAGTTCAAAAAGTCAAAACCAGATTATCACATCTTTTATTTGCGTCAATCACCTAATTCGTGTTACATCCGAACAGTTTAATGGAAGAGAAATTTTTAAAAAAAAAATTTTTTTTATAAAATCCGATTGTAAATTTACAGGGGAAGAAGAGTTTAAAGAACGCTTTACGGCAAATGAATTTAAATAGATGTATGTTTTACTTTATTTTAATTATTTTAATTATCATATTAATTTTACAATATCATAAATCTGAAAAAAATATTTGTAATAAAAAAAAATATTCATAGCGATAGGTTTTCTAGGTAAATGATTTGGTAGTCTATCACGTGATTAGTATTCCATCAGTAATTGGTTATTGTGATTACGAAGGAATGGAGACACTGTCCCATCAAAATCAATCCTTTTAGGTTCCTAACCAACAATTAGAGTTTTTCAAGACTTTTGAAATAACGATCTCACAAAACTTTTATAATTTTGTCGAAGTTTTTGAACAATTCAGGTAAAATATAAATAAGCGAAAGGTTTACCACTCGCATCGTGCAAGTGTTTATTAATTTGATTTATTAACGTAACGCTCTGAATTAGTGCTTTTGAAATTTCAAAATCTCCAATAAACTTAAAGTTATTTACTCTTTCACTTTAAAAGAAAATACTCGCACAAATAAACATGCATTCACAAAAGGTTAGCTTTTTCATAACTTTTGATCAAATGTTTGATTACTTTTGCTACAA